TGATTATTATTATTATTATTATTATTATTATTATTATTATTATTATTATTATTATTATTATTATTATTATTATTATTACGTATTTTTAATACATTTTAATGTATAAAAATATTTTATACATACATTTTTAAATGTATACAAATATTTTTATTAATATAAATATATTTTTAAAAATATATATACTTGTATTTAGTATTTAGATACATGTAATTCCCATGTATTCCATTAAAAACATATTTATATATTAAAAAAGTATTTATTTGTATATAGTAGGTTCAATATATATTTATTTCATATAAAAATATATTATATACATATAAAATAAATAAACATTTATATGGATTATATTATAGAAAAGATATATTTATATGTATTTGTACATATTCCTACTATAACTATGTATTTCATTTCATAACCATTTGCATAAGCTAGTTTTTATACAAATGAAACACCATCTTTATATCTATTAAATACAAATGAAAACGTATTTATACATTTCCAAACATATTTATATGTGATAATTACAAATAAAAAGTGTATTTATACATTAAAGACATATTTATACATTTAAAATATTTTTATTTGTTTTAATAGATATAATATGTATTTCCTCTATATAAAAACTATAGTATGCATATAATTATGAAATAAATACATATTTATACTTGGTAATATGTACAAATACATCTAATTATATCTTTTAATATAATACAAACCATATAAATATGCATTTTTATATTTATAAGTATATAATATATTTTTATATGAAATAAATATATATTTATACCTACTAAATACAAATAAATACATTTTTAACATATAAATAAGTTACTACAGGAATACATGGGGTTTCAAATGTATATAAATACTAAATACAAGTATATATATTTTTAAAAATATATTTATGTAAAAATATTTTTATACATTTAAAAAAGTATGTATAAAATATTTTTATACATTTAAAAATGTATTAAAAATTAAAAATTAATAATAATAATAATAATAATAATAATAATAATAATAATAATAATTATAATAATAATAATCAAAATAATCAAAATAATCAAAATAAAAATCAATGTAAGGGTAAATTCGAACATTTTTGAAAAACTTAAGGGTAAATCCGAACATTTTTGAAAATTCAAGGGCTTTACCGGCATTAGGTAACCGGTAGGTTACCTGGAAACCGGCTATAAGGGTAAAAATGAACAAATTAAACAAAACTTCGGGCTTTATTGGACGTAAAACACATCCAAGGGTAAAACCGACATTTTTGTGAAAACTTAAAGGCTTTTCTGTCATTTTCCCTTTGGTAAATTACCAAAAACGATTTCCAACATAATATCCTCCAAACTTAGTGAAGAATACCAAGAAAATGAGGAACACGAAGAACAACAATAGATGAACAGAAAAATTCTTTTTCCCAAAGCGCCATAAAAAAAATATTGTTTCGAATGCAATTGATACCAAAACAACCTTAAGTCGTTTTTAAGGCTCTGATACCACTTGTAAAACCACGATCTAATATATCAATCGAAATCACTAGGATTGGAGCGGAATCCCAGTCTAATGATTAATGCAAAACAGTTATAATGAATTAGCAACACAATATTTAATTTTCAATGCACACTATACTGATTAATAGTCTGGTACATAATACTATCGATAACTCTCGGTTCTCTCTCTGTCTCTCTAAACTCGATATCAGCTTGATAAGAATGACCAACACTTTACACACGGCTGAAATACTACAATATATATACCTAGACCTAATTACAAAGGCCCAACCCATAGCCCAACTGAAAACATCATTAAGCCCACCGAAATCACATGATGATTTATTGTCATGTATTAATCATATAATAAATCAATAAATCAATCTCTCTCTCTCTCTCTAAAAGTTATCATATTCAAAAATCATGATTAAACAATTATTTTAATATTTTGGTAATTAGGGTTTTGCCCTGTTTCTCCGGCGAGATCAAATGCCGACAGGGAGCGATTGTTATTATTCCTTTTCGTCAGCATCAAGTAAGAAGTTGTCACACCCTCGAACCAGACGGCGGAAACGTCCGGGGGCGGGTGACTTCATCTTGTAATATCATCACAGTGTATATAAATGAATCAAAGACGACATCATCACCATACATACAATATACCAACCATCATAGTTTTACATCATTGTATTTGTTTATAACAATACATCCAAAACATCAAGTATGGTGAGAAACAAAAATACAACATAAATCTTCACTCCTTATCGACCAACTTGTTTTAACGGGTTCCTGAGAATACAAGTCATCTTGAAAAGCATCAACATATAAAAAATGTTGGTGAGTTCATAAGCGTGTTTGTATGAAAAGTTTTGTAGCAGTTTGTAAACACCAGAAAATCCGATATTTTCTGTAAAAGTAATTTGAGAGTTTTGTTTCAAATCTTGTATTAGAGCATGTGTGATCTTGTCTGATAATGTATAAAAAGAGTTTCCCAGAAAATCCTATATTTTCTGTATAATGAAAAAGTGTGGTCTCAACCCTAAGACCCGAGAGATAAGAGTTTAAACGTGAATAATAACGGTATAGTTCGTACTTTGTATCATGAGTATAGTATGTGCATTCCGTAAATTTGTTTGTTTGTTATTCTCTATGTGAGTCGTTACAACCATACTTGATATGACTGATATGCCTGTCACGACGTTCTTCAGGCGTCGGTTACGGTAAGACATTTGTCACCCTAGACTGGCCTGTCTAACTGTAGCGAGCAGCTCAGGTGTGGGGTGTCATCCCCGTATAGATCTATACACAAATTTTCGCTCTCCCTCTAGGAGACTCTGGTTATAACTACAGGGCTTACGGTGTACGCTAGGTAGGTACGAATGAAGGAGTGTCTCACAAGAGCCTTAACTAGATTTACGCGAATAGAGTATCCAATTGTTCAACGTTATAAATAATGTTTCGAGTGTGTGTTTTGACCACAACCTTTGGCGATAAAATATAATTGTTTTATCGAAAGTGTCAAAATATTTGACGTTATCGTGGAAAACTTGTCGTTATCCCAAAGTACCGTGAAAATTTTGGGTGTATTAGAGTTTTCACTAACGGCCCGATTAACATAAGGTTTGTCACAAAAGGCCTAATTTAAATAAGGAATTATCATAAATGGTCCCTTTGCATCAAAATAACCGTTTTAGCCCAAATTTATTAAAAATGACATAAAATGCCCACTTTTATCAAAAATGACATTTTTGGCCTAATATTACAGAAAATGACAATAAAGTCCCATTTTTTTAAAAAAATGACATTTTTGGCCCAATAATACCGAAAATGACAATAAAGGCCCATTTTTGTTAAAAGTGACATTTTTGGCCCAATAATACCGAAAATGACAATAAAGGCCCATTTTTGTTAAAAAATGACATTTTTGGCCCAATAATACCGAAAATGACAATAAAGGCCCATTTATGTTAAAAGTGACCATTTTTGCCCATTAAAACTGAGAAGGCCCAATAAGAAGCTCATTTTGTCAAAAATGACACTTTTGACCCCAATAAATATGTGAATGTAAAAAAAACCATTTTATCCAAAAATGGCCCTTTTGGCCCCTCTAAAACCATGAGTATCATAAAAGGATCACTTTTGCTCATTTGACAAATATGGCCCCTCATTAGGTTTTATTTAGTTTTATAGTATCTTTAAACATGTTTACTCTTTTCAAACATCATAATGAGATGCATAAAGTAACTTATTTCCTTATCTCTTCAAAACTTGGAAGTTGTTTCTAGTTTTGTGAGTGTTTAACATAGTTTCATAACATATTCACACACATACCATGAAAATACACACAAGCATGCATAAATACCAAGATTAAACACAAAACTAGTTTGTATTCTCCCCCAAAAGATAGTAAATCATGAAAAAGAGGGGTATGAAGCTCACCTTGGGCTTGATCGGTTTTGAAGAAGGAGAAAGAAGGAAGTTTTCGGCCTAACTTGTTTCTTGAGGAGATTTTTCGAAACCAAGATGGTTCTAGGAGCATGAACACGAAATGAGATTGGTTTAAGGAAAGATTTTTAGTGTAAACTTGAAGTTAAACCATAGAGTTAAACAAGAACTTACCAAGTTAGGATCTTTGATGAAGAACTCTTGAATTCTCACACACACTCACGATTTTTAGATGGAAAAAGGGAAGGATTTCTTTGTGTTCTTAGAAAGAGATATGAGAGGATTTTTGATGTGTTTGAAGTGAAAAAAAAATGAGGGTGATGGTGGGGGTTCTCGGCCGAGTTTAAGGAAAGAAGAGAGGAGAGAGGTTAATGGTCCTTGCTTAATGGTTAATACTTGATTGCCTAGATGTTTGATGTGCAATGTGCATGTTTGTATGTGAGGCATTAGTGAGGTGTCACAATTATAATCCACTAATTATCTTTTTTTTTGTTAATATAAGAACCGAGAATAGGATAGGGGAAAGAAGAGAATGGATATTGGGCTTGGATTTAAATGTAGTTGAGATTGCATTGGCCCATTAGGGATTTTTCGATCCATGTAGGCCCACTTACAGGTTTACGGCCCAATATGGTTAAATAAATGGGTTTTCGGCCCATGAGAAACAAGGTGAGCGGTTTTTGGCCCAATAAGGCCCATGAAGAGTCTTATGGCCCAAAATACTATTGTTTAATGAATTTAGGTCCAACTAGGGCCCAAATAAGGATTTTTAGCCCAAAAGAACCAAGTTGAGGGGTTACTAGCCCATTACGCCAAATAAGTGAATCCTGGTCCAATAAGAGGTTTGAACCAGGAAGTTAGGTTACAAGCCCAAAGTTGAGTGAATGTAGCGTATTGAATTAGGTTTAGAGCTTTCACGAGGAAGTTCCGACTTGAATTGTCATTTTTGAATGAACAACTTATATAACATCAAAGTTAGGGTTACAAATACACCAGGAGTTATTTACACATGAACAAAATTTCCTAGCCCTAAAATGCTAGTTGTGACAGAAGTGAAACATGAAGGGGGATAATTGGCAATGGAGAATTGGTCAGCATCAGGTAAGGATCGATAACCCTAACACAAGAATGAATGGAGATAGGACTAGGAACGGAAATCTCAAGAGTCTTGATGATATATCAGTGAATGTATACGTGACTAACTTCCCAGATTCTTTGAAAACTAAAGATTTATGGAGGTTATGTGAAAGACATGGGACTGTAACTGATGTGTATATTGCCAAGAAAGTTTCAAAAACGGGAAGGAGATTTGCATTTGTTAGATTCTTGAAATCAAAGGATCATGCACATGTTGTTGAAGATTTAAACCGAATTTGGATAAGAAATCACCATGTCTTTGCTTCCTGGGCAAGATTTAGTAGGAAGGAAGGAGGTAGAAAGGAGGAAATTCATTATTCAGCAGAAGGTAATAGAATGGAAAATAGAAAGGAGCAAATCGGAAGGAATGAAGGCCAAGTTAAGTCTTATGCTGAAGTTGTTAATAATAAGCAAGTTGTTAATAATAAGCAAGATTAGGTGAAAGTTAAATTGAATGAAGCCAATCAAAATATGCAGCAATCTATAGAAGGAATCAAGCTAGGAATGACAGATATGCTAGTTATTCCAGATGCGTGAACAACTGTGCTAGGGAAGGTATGTGATGTTAAGTCCATCGAAAATCTTTATAATATTTGCTATAAAGAAGGATTTAATGGTTTGAATATAGCTTATATGTGGGAGATTGGGTGTGGATTGAGTTTAAAAAACACAATACATGCATTAAGTTCAAACAGAGTACTTCTATGAATTCAGTTTTTTCTGAATTGAAACCGCTCCAAAAACGTTTCACTTTAGATAGCAGGGTTATTTGGGTAGAGGTGAAAGGTCTCCCTTTATGTGCTTGGACACCACCTGCATGTAAAAAGGTGGCATCAAGATGGGGAGATCCAATTTTCATTAATGATGATGAAGATGCTCCTGCTGGGGTGGGGAGAGTTTGTTTAAAAACAACCAATATGAAAAAAGTGTCAGGAAAAGTAAATGTAGATACTGAAGGTATGATGTTCATGGTCACAATTGATGAAGTTTCTGATTGGTCTCCAACTATATTGGTGGGTGATACTCAAGAAGAGGAAGATAGTGATGAAGATTCTCAATATGAGTTGGAATCTGAGAATGATGTTGGTGTGGAAGAAGGCAAAGGTGATAATATTCATTCTTTTGAAAGTCAATCTTTTGAGGGTGAACAAGAGGGAGGGGTGGACCTCGAGAACTTGGTAGAGAAAGATCTTTATAAAGCGGAAGAAAGAGAAAAAGGTATTGTAGAGGAGGTGTCATCTGAAACCAAAGGTACTGAAAAAATGAAACTACAAAGATGGGGGGATGAAATAGAAAATGAAAATTTTGTCATGGAACAAGTTAGTCAACCTATTTCAAATGTGAAGGAAAGGGATAATATTGTGGACATTACTTCAAATGGTTCTAGACCTCCCGGGTTTGAAGATTATAACCTAGATAAAGGGGGTAAAAGGTCTCAATTCTCCTCAAATTAATAAGGATACGACTTCTTTTTCAGTGACTTCAGGTACAAAAAAAAGGAAGTGGGGCTCGAAAAATTCCTAAAAATCAGAAGGAGTACAATGAAGAGGCTGTAAAATCGGTTATATCTCGTTTTATTGATGTTGGTACACGATTAGGTTTTGGTATGAATGGATGCAGTGATCACATGGAAGCTATTATTAAGGAGATGGGTGTGTTGTTGGTTGATAAATGAATTTGTTATCAATTAATGCATGTAGCATCATTAATAGAGGGAAAAGGCGAAATATCTCGAATTTATGTAGTAGTTTGGGTGTTTCTTTTTTAGGTGTGCAGGAACCTCGTTTATCTAAAGTTGATCTTTTTGTTCTTAAAAGTCTATGGGGAAATTTCTCGTATGATTTCGCTACTAGTAATGCTCGTGGGTTATCGGGTGGAATATTGTCAATTTGGGATCCTGCGGTTTTTCAAAAAAGAAAGGTTACAGTGACTGAGAATGTCTTAATTGTTGAAGGGGAGTGGGTTTTTTATAAGTTTAACTATTTTATGATAAATGCTTATGCTCCTCGGGAGGAAAGGGCGAAAAGGTTAACATTGGAGTATTTGAATTTGTTCATGAGTAGAAATAAGGGTGCATATGTGATTTTTGGTGATTTTAATGCGGTTAGATGTGACTCAGAAAGACTTGGTTGTATTTTTTCTCAAAAAATTGCTGATGACTTCAATGCTTTTATTTTTGATAATGATCTCATTGAGGTAGATATGGGAGGGTTCTCTTTTACTATAGTTAGTCCTAATGGAGCAAAATTGAGTAAATTGGATCGTTTTTTTTTATTTCCGAAGAAGTAAGCTTGAAGTTTCAATAAATTACGGCTGTTGCGTTGGAGTTGATAATTTCGGATCATACACCCATTTTTCTCTCTCAAAATGTGGTTGATTATGGGCCTAGGCCATTTAAAATTTTAAATTCTTGGATGCAGGAGGCAGATTTTGATAACTTGGTGGTGTCTTCTTGGAACAGTTATTCAGACTCTAACCATGATGGAGCTTTTTTTAATTTTAAAAATAAACTCAAATCTCTTAAAAACACTATTAGACAATGGTGGCGAATTGAGAAAACTAAGAGAATGGAGATTAAAATTTCGATCCAGAAAAGGCTGCAAGAAATTGATCAGTTGGTGGATGTGGGATTGCTCTGATTCGGTTATGGTGGAAAGAAATGGGCTGCGTACTCAGTTATTTGGATCGGATAAAAAAGAAATGATGGATATGGCTCAAAAAGCTAAATTTAAGTGGAGTATCGAAAGGGATGAAAACTCTAAATATTATCACGGGGTGCTTAATAGAAAACGAAGGCAACTCAATATTCAGGGGGTTAAAGTTGAAGGAGATTGGATCATTGATGTTAACCATGTGAAATTTGTTTTTTTAATGCATATGAAGAAAAATTTAAGAAAATTCCTGTGATCTCGATGGTGAGAAGAAGCTCTCGGTTTAAAGAGTTGTCTCAACAGCAATTGATGGATCTTGAAGCTTCTTGTACTATTGAAGAAGTGAAGCAGGCAATGTGGGCGTGCGACAGTGACAAAGCCCCGGGTCCGGATGGGTTTAAATTTTCTTTTATTAAGAAGTTTTGGGAGTTGATGAAAGAAGATATTATGGAGTATATTCTTGAGTTTTTCAATAACTTGAGGATTCCTTTAGGATGTAATTCTTCATTTAGTACTTTGATTCCAAAGGTTGATAGTCTGATGGTTGTTAATGACTTTCGTCCTATTAGCTAAATCGAGGTACAATATAAGATTTTGGCAAAATTGTTAGCTTTAAGGATTGCTAAAGTGGTCGATTCAGTGGTGAGTAGTGAACAAACGGCATTTGTTAAAGACCGCCAAATTCTTGATGGTCCTATGATGGTCAACGAAGTGATGGAGTGGTATAAAAAAGAATAAAATAATGATGATGTTAAAGATCGATTTTGAAAAAGCATACGATTCGGTTAGTTGGGAATATTTGGATAGAATCATGCAATTTATGAATTTTGGTGGTAAATGGAGAGCATGGATTCATGCTGCTTTAGTTTCAGCTAGATCGTTTGTTCTTGTGAACGGAAGTCCCACAAAGGAATTTCAATTACAAAGAGGACTTAGACAAGGAGATCCTCTTTCCCTATTTCTATTTATTTTGGTGATGGAAGGTTTACATGTCGCTCTTGAAGATGCGTTGGCTGAAAACATTTGTACGGGAGTTTATATAGGCAGATATAATCTCAAGCTGTCACATCTCTTTTATGCGGATGACGTATCATTTTTGGAGAATGGGAAAGATCCAATATGGTGAATTTGGTTAGTATTCTAAACTGCTTTTATTTGGTGTCGGGATTGAAAATGAATATTAAAAAAAACAAATTTATACGGTATTGGGGTTAGATGGGAGGAAGTCATGGAGTTTGCTAGATTGGTGGGTTGTAAACCTAATAAATTGCCATTTATTTATCTTGGTTTACCTATTGGTCAAAATATGTCTAGAATTGCGAGTTGGAAACTTTTGAAGGATAAATTTCAAAAAAGGAAGTCTAAATGGAAGGTTAATACGTTATCTATTGGTGGTCGGTCTATGTTGCTAAAGACTATTTTGGGTTCGATTGGCGTGTATTATATGTCGTTATTTCTTCTTCCTGAAACGATTTGTAAAGAGTTTGAAGCTAGTAGAGCTAGGTTCTTTTGGGGTGGTCATGAGGATAATCGAAGCATACACTGGATAAAATGGAATTTAATTCTTGCCAATCGGAAAAAAGGTGGATTGGATATTGGAAGCTTAAAGGCTTTTAATCTTGCTTTAATCCAAAAATGGTGGTGGCATTTTTTTTAAGTGTGACAATATGTTATGGGTGAGAGTTATTAAAGCGTTATTTGGAAATCAAGGAGGGTTTGATAATGCTCATTCTCGAGTCAAAGGAGTGGGTCCATGGTCTCGAGTTATTGCTTCTTCTTATCGGTTGGATGTTAATGGTATTTTAAATTTGTCTACTCTTAAAAAGAAAATTGTAAATGGGTGATGTATCCTCGACTTTTTCTTTTGGAAACAAATAAGGATTGTAAGATCACTGAAAGGAAACTTGATGCGGGTTGGTTATGGCAGTGGCGTCGGCCGATCAGAGGGGGTGAAGAAAGTACTCAATTTTCGAATATGTTAAATGCTATTCAGCATGTTACTTTTTCTGATAAGAATGATTCGTGGTGGTGGGATATTGGTGATTCGGGGGTCTTTACAGTTTCAGATACATGGAGATGGATTGATGACCAGATCTTACCAAATGTTGCTATTCAGACAAGATTGAATCACTTTGTCCCGAGAAAGGTTAATATTCTTATTTGGAGGGTGTGTTTGGATAGGATTCCAACTAGGACTAACTTAGACCTAAAAGGAATTGACATTCCATCTATTTTATGTCCTATTTGTAATTTGGAGGCAGAACAGTTGAATCATTTGTTCATCATACGTGAGGTGGCGGCCAGAACGTGGGATGCGATATTTAAATAGATGGAAATTAGACCTATTGTGTTCGATTCGGTGAATTCTATGTTTGAAAAAATTGATGATCTTCGATGTAGTGGTAAGAAAAAAGTGGTTGTTGATGCTATGATTGTTGTTGCATCCATTCGACAGTGGAAGATCTTTCAAATGGATGTCAAGAATGCCTTTTTGAATGGTGACCTCTACGAGGTGCTTGATTTGAAAATTTCTTCATAGTGGTTACCTCTCTTGGATTTGTCTAGAGTAATCATGATCCGGCTTTGTTTATCAAATGTACAAGTGCATGGCGGATGTTTTTGTCCTTATATGTGGATGAGATTATTATTACTGGTGATGACCATGTTGGTATTGAGTCTTTGAAGCATGACTTAGCTCATCGGGTTTGCTATGAAGGATTTGGGATTACTGCGTTATTTCTTGGATACTGAATTAGCTCCGGTCTAAGAAATGACATCTTCTTTCTCAGACTAAATATATTTGGTTTGTTTACACAGGCGTGCCTCTTTTACAACCGGTCTGTAGATACTCCTCTTGAAACCAATATATGGGGTTCACCTAGTGACGATGTACCTTTATCAGATCTGAATCTTTACTCGTCCGGATATAGCTTATGATGTTCATGTCGTCAGTTAGTTTGTTGCTCTTACTTCTGTTCATTGGGGGAATTGTACTTTGCATTCTGAGATATCTTTGTGGAACTCAATTTCAAACCCTCTTGTTTCCCTCGACATCGTCTCTTGAGTTACGTGCCTATAGTGATGCTGATTTGGATGGCCATCGTCATGATCGCAAATCCACTACCGGATTTTGCGTGTTTCTTAAAGAGTCTCTAATTTCATGGAAGAACAATAAACATGACGTTGTCTCTAGATCTTCCACGGAGACTGAGTATCGTGCTATGGTTGTGACTACATATGAGATTATCTTGTATTTTGGTTACAATGGCTCCTTGTAGATATGGAGGTTCACATTTCTCTGCCTACTCCCCTGCATTGTGATAACAAAATTGCGATACAAGTTGCGAAGAATTCTATTTTCCATGAGCGGACGAAACACATTGAGATTGATTATCACTTCACTCGCCATCACTTACAGCTCGAGACCATATCGCTTCCGTTTGTTCCTTCAACCTAGCAGCTTGTTGATATTTTTATGGAGGCTCTATCACCGTCTCGACTTTTTTTTTGTGTGACAAACTCTCAATGCTTATTGCTATGGTATTGTGAGAGGGGGGGGAGGAGGAATGTTAGCCCATATGTTTATGGACCAATTTGTCCTTAGCATGTAAGGTTTTAGTATTTATTCGTTCCCTTTGTTTTGTATCTTTCACACTCTTCTATGAAGAACACTAGCACTTTCTCTTTTTATCAATGAAGCATATGAATGTTGTTCTTTTATCATCGTGGTTGTAAACTAGCAAAATTTTCTATTCTACCATTAATAAAAGTGTCACTCGTTTTGTTGTTCATTTTGATCTTGTGCATTATGATGTGTGAGGTCCCTCACCGGTTTCCTCTAAATAAGGATTCACTTACTGTGTTTTATTTATAGATGCTTACACTCGTTATACGTGTGTTTATTTTAGTGTTCGACAAAAGTAGCCGAAAGTTTTTAAAATATGTAAAATTACAAAACAAGATTTATCTAAAACATACAATTAATTAAAAAAATGGTAATTACGTAGATTAGTAAAATTATAAAAGAACTTTTGTTAAACCTTACTTGAATTAACTTTTGGATTTGAAGTTTTTTGTTTTAGTTAAAAGTTAAAAGTAGGGGTGAGCATGGTGCGGTTTTTGGCCAAAATCGAACCAAAAACCGCAACTTCGGTTTTTGAAGTTTAGAAACCGTACCGTTCGGTTTTATGCGGTTCGGTTTTTGCGGGGTTTTTTTGCGGTTTTTTGTCAATTTTTTTATTTGGTTTTTGTTTTGTCTTTTTACTAAAACTCAGTAACTCAACGAGTTACTTTGACTCGGATGAGGAGATTTAATCACTTCTTGATAAACTTTATATAGAGACGACGAGCGCCAGATTGACTCTCTTATATGAAAGGTGAGAATGATGAAGGTTTTATCTCAAAGGCGATTAGGGATACTCTTATAAGGCTGGGAAAATTAAAGCCCAAATGATATATTGGAGATGAACTGATACCACCACTTCTTGGTTTGAAATCAAATGACATAACCACTCATCCAACATGCTTCTAATGCTTGAATATAATACGAATAAATATAATATTTGTTTCACAGGTACATGCGATAATATCAATTAATGTATTCATAAAAATGATACTATCATCACTAGTATTCTTCATATTTAAATGTTAAAAAATGTAATAAACATTATTTGTTCTTGTAAATATCACTATACCACTACTAGAAAATTTGATAATACCTACGGAAAAATCCGTAGGTATAAGGTGTTACCTACGGAATTGCGACGGAAAACGGGCCGTAGCATAAACGCTCGTGGGTAAATATTACCGACGGATTTGCGACAGAATACCTACGGAATACCGACAACATTTTTCCGTCAGTAATTTACCTACGGAATACCTACTGAACACTATAGCGACGGATTACCTACGGGTTACCGACGGGACCCACTTTAATTGACATTCACTTTATCACCTACGGA